CTCCCCCGCTCCCCTCCGCTAATCACCTCGTCATCGGGCAAGCTGCATCCCAGCTGGGATGGGGGGTTGCCATGGTGACGGAAGATGCTGGTTGCCTAGCAACATCCATCCCCTCGCCCACCCGCCATGGACTGATTCGGTGTGCGTCCTGCCCCCCCCTTCCCCCCCAGCTGGCTGCACGCCCCTGGGGAGGTGCAGGCTGTCAGGGGTCCCTGTGGAGCCCCGGGGGGGCTGCCTGGGGCGCAGTGGGAGCAAGAGGGGGTTTCCCATCTGCTGGGAATGGTTTCCAAGGAACAGTCTCCATGACGGCCCCATCACACCCCAGCGGCACATTGATTTGCTGCTGCTGGTGCTCCGGCATCCTCCCCCGGCCTGGTGCCTGCCGGGCCGGTGGCTCACGCAGCCAGGCATGTGAGCGGCCCTGAGTTCCCTGCCGGGGTGCGGGGCTGTCCCCAAAGCTGGTCAATAACTGGTGGGGTCAGCAGGGGACAGGGGTGGGCGCACAAAGAGCTGCGAGGCCACGGTGGCTTGCCACACAGCACAGCAACTGGCAGTCTGTGGGTGGCATCGCCCAGCTGGTCCATGTGCCCAAGTGACCCTTCTGTCCCCACCTGGGGACCCTGCCCTGCGGCTGCCAGCCAGCCAGAAGGGGCATAGCCCCTGCCCACAGTCCTGCCCTGCCTGGCAGCCTTGCCCCCTATGGTGGCAATGGGCAAGGGGTTGGAGTGGCTGTGTGGCAGCTTGGGGACACCTGGCCAGTCCCTTGGGACCTGCCCTGACCTCAGTGTTAGCAGGATGGCGGGGGGCGCTGTCCCACGCTTCCCCTGGCTGTGGCTCACCCACACTGTCTCCCCAGGGCCCTCTATACATATGAGGATGGCTCCGATGATCTGAAGCTGGCAGCCTCAGGAGGTAAGGTCCTCTGTCCCCACAGCCACTCGGCTCTGCCAGCATTTTCCCCGGCACCCATCCCAGTGGTGGGTGGACGTGGGCTGATGGTGCTGTGTCAGGCGGGGGTTTGCTGGAGCTGTCCGGCCACTTTGAGATCCAGAAGGTGATGTACGGCTTCTGCAGTGTCAAGGACCCCCAGGCTGTGCTCCCCAAATATGTCCTCGTCAACTGGGTGAGTGGGGGGGCCACGTTGGGGGGGGCTGTGCCCACTGGGGCTGCAGTGTTGGCAGGGGCATGGCTGGGGGCGAGGGAGGAGCCCAGAGGAGCCCATGGTGGCTGGGAGGATGCGGGTGCCCCGTGGTCCTGCTGCCCTGAGGTGGCCAGCGGGATGGGGGTCACCCTGCTGCCCCTCCCTGGCTCAGACCCTCCCTGGCTGCTGCAGGTGGGCGAGGATGTGCCAGACGCCCGCAAGTGTGCCTGTGCCAGCCACGTGGCCAAGATCGCCGAGTTCTTCCAGGTGGGTGATACTGGGGAGGGGGACAATGCTGCCAGGGCACCGACGCTGGTCCCTGACGGCTGCTCACCCCACCTCAGGGTGTGGATGTCATTGTCAACGCCAGCAGCGTGGAGGACATCGACCCAGGGGCCATCGGGCAGCGGCTCTCCAATGGGCTGGCCCGCGTCTCCAGCCCAGTGCTGCACCGCCTGCGGCTGCGGGAGGACGAGAACGCCGAGCCCGTGGTAATGTCCCCATGGCAGCGATGGTGATGGTGGCGGGTGCGGGGCATCCCTCCTGCCCGGGCCTCCTGTCTGCCACAGCCCGTCACCCCGTGTGCCACTTACTGTTATTCCCCCTCGCTGATCCCAGCCCCTCCGCCCCCCCTGCCTCTCCTCCGTCCCAGGGCACCACTTATCAGAAAACTGATGCCACCGTGGAGATGAAGCGCCTCAACCGGGAGCAGTTCTGGGAACAGGCCAAGGTGGGGTATGGGAGGGGGCAGCCCGTGGCCCCCAGGGAGTGGGGTGAGTTGCCCGTGGGCTGACAGGCAGCCCCATCCTTCATCCACCCCCCTCCACCAGAAAGAGGAGGAATTACGTAAGGAGGAGGAGCGGAAAAAGGCCCTGGACGCCCGGCTGCGGTTTGAGCAGGAGCGAATGGAGCAGGAGCGGCTGGAGCAGGAGGAGCGGGAGCGGCGCTACCGGGAGCGGGAGGAGCAGATCGAGGAGCACAGGCATGGCAGGGGTGGAGGGGAACCGTGTCCTGTGAGATGCGGGATGGTCGCACACAGGATGGTTGTGCACGTGCTGTGAGCGGCTGGGTGGGCGTGTGGGTGTTTGTCCCTGCTGCGAGCGGGGCTGGGCAGGGGCTGTTGAGCAGGGGCTGGCAGGAGCTGGTGCCCAGCCCCTCTCCCGTGCCCCCATCACAGGCGGAAGCAGCAGAGCATGGAGGCGGAGGAGGCCCGGCAGCGCCTGAAGGAGCAATCCATCTTTGTAAGTGCCGTGGCGGGCATGGGGCTTGCCACTACCCCCAGGGATGTGCTTTTCCCAGATGGGACCCCAGGGTGTCCTGGGGCCGTGGGGTGACGCTGCGTCTCTTCCCAGGGGGAGCAGCAAGAGGAGGATGACAGGCAGCAGCTCAGGAAATCAGAGTCAGAGGTAGAGGTGAGTACGGTGGCAGCAGCCATGCCCGGTCATGGTCCTCACTCCCCAGCCAGTGGTGCCCACTGCTGGACAGGGACCCACTGAGGGGTGCGGGGGGTCG